GATGGGTGTTGTAATGGAATGATTTAATGGATTGAAAGTGAGGGTATGAATTATCACCATAGCGGTTCCAGGTCATCGGACAATGTTATGTGATACACCGTTGGAATCAACTCGATGAGTAGGTATAGAAAATCACTTCTTGAGCTGGATCTGACAATATTCCTCGATGGTCAATAGAAGATAATTATTTTAAATTATACCAAAGAAGTGATGTTATACATCGTTGAAATCAGCTCGATGAATAGGTATAGAAAATAACTTCTTGGGCTGGATTTACATTAATTATCTTCTTATGACCATGGAGGAATATTATCAGATCGAGCTCAAGAAGTGATTTTCTATACCTACTAATCGAGCTGATTCCAACGATGTATCACACAACATTGTCCGATGACCTGGAACCGCTATGGTGATAATTCATACCTTCACTTTCAATCCATCAAATCATTCCATTACCACACCCATCTATCTATTATGGTTCAAAAGTTATCACAATAACAATATTTTGTATAAGAAATACATTAGAAATACATTAAGTCTACGAGAAGTTAGAGGGTGGGTCCAAAAACATCGAAATCCCCATAGAAATACATTAAGTCTACGAGAAGTTCTCTTAATTTATTTTTTCTTTATTTTAGGTCAATTGGTCATTAGATCAATTTGTCAATATTAGGTCAATTGGTTATTAGGTCAATTGGTCATTAGATCAATTGGTAATTTTTAGGTCAATTGGTTATTAGGTCAATAGACCCGCACCCTAAATAATTAACTCACAACTATGCAAATGTGTTTGTCCCACAGAGTATGGCAGTAGTATTTGGGGTACTCTACTACGGACAGGGATATGACTACTCCAACGTCAGTAATATCAATGGGGCTCTTAATATGATATTACAGGAACCTTCAATGGCACAGTCAATGGTCGCTCTAAGTGTAAGCATTATTATTATTATTATTATTATTATTATAACAATTATTTATTACTTTTATTTTCTTAATAACATTTTTGACAATTTGATTTTATGCATTTAAAAGGGAAAATAGTGTAAAATATTCACAATGGTACATTTGTTGATTTCTTAGAAATATATTTTAAAGTTTAAAAATATTTAAATAAACATAATTTTAAACTATATTTTAGACATTAATAGGAGAGGAAGCCTTACTTTGTAGGGAACACCACAACCGTACGTACGCCTTGTTCCCATATATATTGGCGACCATTATTACCCAGGTTAAGTTTAAGTATTTATTTATTTATTAGTAATATTATATAACTACCAATAATAGGAAAGTGATGTGTTTTTTCATAAAGCTTGCTAAGAGAACGTGTTTAAAACAGCTTTACGAGTAAAGTATAAGTTTTTATATGCGGTATATCTTATAAACCTACTATTATTTTACAAAATAGTACACCTACTTTGGTCAACAGACTGACCAATTGTACACCATTGGGGTGTACAGTATACTATTAAGGGGTTTTTGTACATGCTATTAGTAAAAATATATTTAAATATACATATTAATAGAACAAAATTATATGAATACGGTTACCCTTTAATCTAATAGTATTACCAAACAAAATATACACTATTAAATAATATAATTAGATTATTTTGAATCTCATATAAATTTAATTATGAGTCACTCGCTGCAGAAGTATCTTCTTTGAGATACTGTATAGTACAGGTCAAAGTCGGGATCCCTTTTCCCTTAAACTTCCCTTTCCCTTCCCGTTCCCTTAAGTGATTGGGAAGGGAAAGGGAATCAGAAATCACATACGGGAAGGGATAGAGATTCCCTTTTTGGATGTAAGGGATTCCCGTATACCAAATTCCCTTAAATTTCCCTTAAATGTCACATAAATACTGTATTGAATTGTTTAATATGCTATGAGATTGAATCATTTAATTGTGAATAAAAGCTATAAAACTATGATAAAAACAATCATTTTATTAACATTAGGAGTGAAAGCATTGAATTATTTTTAATTGTGGTAAAATTACCAATAGTATTAATTGTAATAAAACTCAATAAAAACTTCATTTCATATGTATTAATGTGAGATTAAATGCTCATTTCAATTGTAATTTTATACCTAAATTTTTCAGGGAATTTAAGGGAAGGGAAAGGGAATCCCTTTAAGCAAAAATTAAGGGAAAGGGAAGGGAAAGGGAATGAAAATCAGGAGTAAGTTTGACCTGTACTGTACAGTGCTTTATGTTAAAGCAATACCCTATTGACAATTGCAGTGCTGCTCAGAGAACATACTTTTGCAGCGAATAACTCATATCATATATTTACTTGAACAGTTGGCTATAAATGTAATACTGACTAGTATCTTTGTGACGATTTTGTATTTCATCGTTAGTTTATATCTGAGTAGGGAACACCTATTATTTCATGTATTTATTATTGACATTAAAATTATATTTATTATATTATACTAGAATCGGATTCACACAAAACAGAAGGGTTTGTGAGAACCTCTGAAGCAAAGGACAGTCTTTTCATTTCTCCGCCGGAAATGCCTTTCAATTGTTTGTTGTCTCCGATCCGTGTTTCCGCGCATTTCGTTAAATTAAACTAAATTATTATAAAACAAAATATATATTATACTAAATATTAAATGACATTGGTGAATTTATTTTTTATCCAAACCTTTTGAATGACTCGTTGAATGCAATCAATTCTCTCATTTCTACTCAAATTGCTATCCATTCGTAATAATGCCTTCAAATATGAGTTCAATTATTAAATTAATAAATAATTTTATAGGTTTAATCCCAAAACGCCTAGTGCCAAAAAAGCCTAACCTGACTCTACTTTATTAATGTTGACCAAAGTTAAATTTTACCCTGGCATAATAGTATTGGATAAATTACGCTAATATATTTGACGTAATTTATAACAGAATTAGCATTTATGGCATAATTTTGAGCAAATATTGAAAAATTAAAATAAAAGTTTGATAATTGAATAAATAAAATAAAATTAGAGTAATACCCCGTTCTGCTGGACTTCAGACTTAAGTCATAACAGGTTTTACAGTGTTTTACAGTCAAGACTTGAGTCCCGACTCAGAAATGACTCAAATGTTGAGAATTTCACGACGAAAGTCATGAGTCTCTAAGCCTTTCAGTTCATTTCAGGCTCACCACAAAACACAAACTAGTTTTTCAATGAATATAAGTCATTTGGAGATTGGAGACAGGCACTTTGAACACAACTCGCTTAGAAACGACTCACAATTTCTGAGTTTTGAGTCGTACTTGAGTTGAGCGGGAATGGGATATAACGCTATTTATTGCTAAATTAATAAAGGTCTAATATACGGATAATTTGACAAATTTATCTCTCTTAATTAATAAGTAATATTTGAACTCTATCAATTTAGGCCCTTTAGGCGTTTTGTGCCATTCTAATTATATTATAATATAATTAATATAATTTTGATGTCAATAATAAATACATGAAATAATAGGTGTTCTCTGACTGTAAACGTCGGTTGAAACAAATCGTGTTGTTGTATATACGAGGAAATGGATGCAATGGTCTGCTGACTGACTGTCTGTCCATTCATGAGTACCACTCCATTGACGGACAGTTGCCGTGAATTCCTTGCCGTCAATACATTCAATAGAGTCGTCTTTCCGGAGCCACTGAAACACACAATCATTTAATAAATATTTTTTAATTAAAAATAAATAAGAAATGTGTACTAATATACAGTGTATATTATGTATATAATATTCAAATAATAGGTGGAAATTTTTTAAACTCCTTTATAAAGCTAACAACTAAACAAATTGTTATATTTAGGAAATAACTTAATTAAAAATTTTCGACCATATATTTGATTATTTTGTACAAATATATAATAAATCAAAACAATTGTTTGATGTAATAATGATTTTTATGCAAACCTGGCACCCATTATAGCCAGCACACTTCCAGCTTTAACTTCACCTGATACTATTAATTATTAATCATGGAATTACTTTTAAAATTTTAAACATGTACAGTATGTTAAACATTATTAATAGCAAATACCGTTCTTTAGGATCTCTTTTGGAGTTTTATTATTTTGAAAACAATTATAAATAGATTTCTGTGTTTTAGTCATCACTTGAATATTAGTCCACGAAATACACACCGAAAGTATGGTCTCTCCCGGACTCCCATTCCTATTGTCGGCTATTATTTCCGACATTTCTATCATTTCTATATCTCTTATTAAAAAATAAATTATTATATTAGTAAAGCATTTGTAATGACATATAATATTTATAACACAAAATACTAATTAATTTACTTTAAATATAATTTCTAACTATGATTTGTAGTCAAGGATAGGGAGTATGAAATGGTAGTTAATAATGTACTGTATATTATGTTTTAGTGGTAAATGCAATATACTGTAGAATTTTCTGGAAATATTATCTATAGTCTAATATAAAATATAATATAATAGCACAATCATTGTTAATAAATCTACATTTTATAAATCTACCTTTATATATATTTACCTCCACTTAACATAATGTCAACTAAATATAACTTTGAAGGAAAGGTAGCTCTAATCACTGGCTCGAGTTCAGGCATCGGCGCCGCCATAGCCTTACTGTTTGCTCGAAGCGGTGCCCGAGTAGTGGTCACTGGTCTGGACGGACGGGACGTACACTCAGTAGCCGATGAATGCGCGACGATATCATCGCAGAGTCGGTGTTGGGAGTGGTGTCAGACGTGCGCCTGGAGTCGGACTGTCGACGACTGATAGATACGACTATCGACTCGTTTGGACGGTTAGACATTCTGGTGAACAGCACCGGTGTGTTTGATATGACAGGCATAACAGACCCGGGTTACATGCAAAAGCAAAGCCAAGTGTTTGACGTGAATCTCAATTCTGTTATACTTTTAACGCATTTATCGGTTAAATATTTGGAGACAACTAAAGGAAATATTATTTACATCTCTAGTATTGGAGGGGAAAGA